TGTTAATTTTAAATATTGGCTATATTTTGTTGTTTGTGAATGAGAATAATTAACGGTAAAATTAATGAAAGTTTCTGCAACTGACGTAACTGTAAAATCATAATTTTACAAGATATTAATTGGTCAAATTTTCCTCCTAATCGTGTCCAAATCGTGTTATTTGCAATAAAAATAAAATAAATAAATACAAATTATGAATTAGCGCGGTACTTTCAGGTATATACAGGACTCTCACACTTACTGATAAAATAACATTGAAGAATAACAATTGAAGATGATCACATAATATTGTTTTTATTACTCTATATAAACTCTATATAAACTATATAAACTACTTAATTAAATTGCAGATATTTACAAATATCAGATATGTCATAAATCTAAATTCCGTAACCTCCGTTATCGACACGAACGATATAATAGCTTCTTGCTGCGCACTAGTCCGTCGAGTCCTCGTAAACAGGTCGCGAAACTTTCGCGCCAGACGAAATCACAATTTTGCGTTACACAAACGGTTACGTGGAGGAACACTTGAGCTCAATTTAACGCTATATATCCGAAAACGAAATCCCCGCTGTACCGCCGAGTCGAGTCGAGTCTCATATCAAGTCAGTATCAGCTGGATAGCTCAAAGTTCCGTGGCGTACCGAGAGAGACAGAGAGAGAGAGAGAGAGAGAGAGAAAGAGAGAGAGAGAGAGAGAGAAGATGGGCTGTTACGGCGAAGAGTGAAGTGCGATTTTCGTCGCAGCCCATTGCGAAAAAAAAGCAGGAGATTTCTGCGGAATTATATATCCCCGGCGAATTTCTCCGCCGAGCGCGCGGTTACGATCGAACTTTCCTCATTTCGTGCGAGCGCCGCGCCGTGGAGAGAGAGAAACTCGGGAGTTAGGCGATGACATTTCGTGCGCTCGCGCTGATATTACGTGTCGAACAGATGTACGGGATAATTAATGAAGTGTGTGCGAGTGACAACGGGGATCTACGCACATATAGATACATATAGAAACGTAGATCAGAATCTCGCTGATGACGAGCGGAATTTAATAACGGCGGGACAAAAATTTGGCGCGCGAGGGAAAAATTGTGTGCCCGCGCGACGCGGCAGGTAGACGAGATGCACGTTTCGCTGCAATAAAGTGACTTCCGCCGTAATAGACGGCCGGGTTCGCTCTGGCGAATTGCCGCTGAGCGTGGCATGCGCGCGTGTTGACGTTTCCGACGTTGAAGGAAGCCCGGCGAAAAAATATAATGCCGGCGGACGCCGTCTTGCGAGCTAATTTTTAATGCGCGCCGCGCCACGACGGGGTTGATACATTGTGCGCGATATTCTACGCGCACAAAACGCTTTGTGTGTCGCGCAGCGTATATTCCGAGTTATTATGATTGTCGCGTCTGTCTACTCGTGCGCCTCTCTCGTCTCTTAATAGCGGAATCTCCGTGAAATACGAGTTCCTTTAATCGACTCGTCGAAAGCCTCTTTTTCGTATCGTCCCGGCAAAATTTTGCGATTGTGACTCGTAAGGCGCATTTAATCGATACGACGACGCTAACGATAATTGTCCAAGGCATAGAAAAATATGGCAGTTTATCACAACAGGGGGAAGCGCAGTTGGACGACGAAAAAGCGCTTCGCGTAAAATGTACACTCGCTCTCCGCCGTCGGAAAATGTCCCATTGCACTTTACCGCCGGAAAATGTCACAAAATGTCGCTATCTGGCTCGTTGCCATTTCCACGCGCAGAACAAACACGTCGTGTATGAATAACACGCCGCGCTCTTAGAGCGGTTGAGAATTAATAAGAATATTCCCGCGTGATGTTTGCGAACGGGAATTACTTGACGAAATCGTTAGAAGTTTATAAATATGTGAAGCACTCGCGCGCGCGGAAGCGTTACACATCGCGTAATTTGCACGCTTGACGGAAAAAAAAGGTCCGAAGCGTGTATGAACAAGTAGACCCTGCTATGTTACATTGCGCGCGCCGACGTGTGGAGGGGTGGAAAGCTCGTAACTCAGCGAGATAACGCGCAACAAATCGTCCCTTTTTTGCCGACTATGTTTGGCATCGATTAACTATACTCGAGAGCTTCTCGACTGGCGAGCCTCCCCCCATTTCCCCCCCCCCCTAATTTTCTCCAACTTTAACTTATAGCGGAATAGCGTTATACGGTTGCAAAGTGTCTGAAAGACGTGTTTGCAATAAAGCGAGCCGCGGCGCGTCCGGCGAGCTCGGAAATTGAGCGTGCATGTGCCGTTCGTAGAGCTGCTCTCGGGGGTTGCTGCTGCCTGCTGGCGCATCTCCGCGCGCGGCAGACAACACGTAGGCCATCGTTCTCGCCTCTCGCGTAATTCCCATCCGAGCATAGTATCGCCTTGAACGTCGACGAGACGGGGTGGCGGCAGTGGCGATGGTGGTGGTGATGGTGATGGTGGTGGTGGTGGTGGTGCCTGACTGCCTTCGTAACACCACGTCACCCGTACACGAAACAACGCCGTTCTCATCCCGCTTGATGGATGTGGCGTGCATCGTCTGCCTGGTCGTGGCTGGCTGCTTCCGGAAGCGAGAGAGCGTTTCTCTCTCTCTCTCTCTTTCTTTCCGTCTCGCCCTCTCCCTCCTTGTCTCTCTATCTCTCTTCTTCACGTCCAGACAACGAGCCGCTTCTCTACCCGCGGCGGCGAGGCGCGTGAGAAATCGAGGCGAATGAAATTTCACGGTGGCCGGAATGAGCTCTGACTTCCGCCTCGCTCCGTAATTATCCGTTTTCGAGGAAATTACTGTCCGACAGTTTTCACCTCTCTCGCCTCCACGCTCCGTCTCCGTGGCGCGGCGAAAAAGAATTCGCAGCGTCCAGCCGGATTGATGGCGGTGGATTAATTGCTCCTCCCCCCCCCCCTCTCTCTCCGATCCAACGAGACTTCGGGCGTCGGATCGCGCGTGTTTGCGATCAACAAATGCGACTCGTGCCTCGCATAAAACGCGCGCGCGTTTGTTTAGACGGTATCGGAAATTCCGCGCGGGCGATACATTTATGTAAGCGTGTAATCGAATAAAAAGAACCATTGAAATTAATAGTTGAATATATTTGCAGAAGTAAAAGCTAGTTTTTGTATACCACTTTTTCTCCCTTGGTCGTATTATTCGCGCGGCTTGTTTGTGATACCGAATGCCCCGCGCTTGCCGTTCAGAAAATTCATTATTAATCAAAGTTAATCAATCAAATCGCACTTATCCGTTCGCACGCTCTCGTATTGAATACTCTCGAAAGATAATAACGCCATCAAGCTTGATACGCATGATCAGCGTTGCGCGACGACGCGTGTAGAGTTAAATGATGCGGAAAATTGTGAGGCCGCGTCGGGAGGACTTACCGAAAGGATTATATTCCTCGGCGTATACATATATAATGCCGCACCGATCCGAGATAGAGCGAACGGAAAGAAAGCCGGGGCGGAGATCGATCGCCGTCTTCGCGACGCAAATAATTCATATGATTGACGACGTATCCGCGTATATTGCGGGTATATCCCGATGAATTATGCATTCGGAAGCGCGTGTCATTGTTCACTGGTCATCGCGCACGCGGTAACGACCGGAGAGAATTCAGGATTGCGGCACTCACCCCGCGCTCGCTCCCGAGTGCTTATAATTATTATACGGCGTTCTATCAATTCCGGTTATCGGCACAGCTCGCAAGAGGAGAGACATATGTATGCCCGCGCGCCCGCCTGTATGTATATGCGTCCTGTGCGCGCGCGCGCGCGCGCGTGTGTGTGCTCCCGCGGCTTTCAGCATACGTACAAACGCGGCCGAATAGAATTTGGGGATACGGCAGCGTTCCGCTTCTGTGCCAATATTGACGCGCCGTGGAGAGATGCGATTGCGCTCGCCCTATATGCACCCTCTACGGCCCCTCTTCGGACACGAGTCCGCGGAATTGAATTTTGGTGATATAATTATCGAATGCTGTGTAACTAAGCGATCTGTATCCGGCGCTATCGCGCCGACCCGAACGGAGGCCCGCATTCTCGCCGAGCGGGTAAATAGTTATGAGTATACGTTACAGGGTGTTCCGTGGGATGGTGCAGGGGAAAGAGAGGACCGCGCGATAAGGGGTGTAACGTCACTAGGCAAAGGATCCATTAAGGAAGCGGATTCGTATAGGGCATGAATTCTCTCTCTTTCTCTCATAGTGACTTTCTTTTCCTCCCAGAGCGATATATGTCTTTCTCTCCCATAAAAAATACATCGCAATAGTTCTTTTTTATTTTTACAGCGGTACGTGACGGTCTTTCTCCCTCTGTATAATTCTCTCTTTCCCTATAACTATTTTCATCTCATTCATCTTTCTACAGCTGTCTCTGTTGTATTCATGTACGTACTTACGTCCTACTCACGTCCTCTTCTGTAGTGATATATCTTAGCTTTATCCCATTTATTTACCTATCTACCTCCCTCCCCTCGTAGCTATCTCTCTCTCCTCAACTTCTCCTTATCTATTTTTTTTGTGATGCTTATTAAGCGTACATTAAAATTAGTTGACAGAATCCAATGTACATACTTGTGTAATCGAGAGAAAGTTTGAAGGAAACGGTTAGAAATAATAGTTCTTTGGAGATAATTTATTTTTAATAATTTCTGCTCATGCGATAAGTATCTCTTATATTTCTATTTCTTATAAGTATGTATTATATTTTATCCGAGGCTAACAACGTTTTATCTCTTGATATCTCCACATTATAGATACAATTTTAAAATATCTATAAAGTTATAATATTTGCAGTATGCATTGTATAGGTACCTATACGACGATACATACTGCAAATATTATAACTTTATATATATTCTAAAATTATAATAAAATTTAATACGTATTAAAAAAAACAAGAAGAGGATTTGAGAGGAATGTTAAGAAGAAAAAATGTATACGTAAAGCAAATCATATTTTTAAGTATTAAAATTAGACTTAACTATTATAGCTTTTAAAATATTACTAATTGTAGAATATAATCTAATTATTGTAATTTTATTAAATTTCTTCAATTTCATAGGAACACAATCCAAAGAGAAAGTTTTCTCAAATCAAAAAAATTTACTAAATCAACAGGGATGGAAGCATTTTTTCACGCCACAAAAAATTCAATTCTTTTCTGGCGATTCTGCGACTACATTCTTGTCCATTTTTTGTGAGTGATATTTATAAACCCAACTATATATCTATATATCTCTTGACCACATGAACTAAAAAATGATAAAAATTTATTGTTTTTTAAATATTATACACACAATTACGTAAATAACAATCTTACATGTACATGTTAGGAAGAAGAATATTACTCACGATATTCTTTATTCGCAATCTCGTGACATTGAAATTGTCGACTCATATCCACTAAAAAATAAAAAAAATTATTATTTTAAAAAAGATAATACTATGTAATACTACTATATAATACTACATAATATTATGTAACACAAATCTATATCCCATCCGTAAGGTATGTAACTTTCATAGGACTTTCAAACACCTTCAATCCATTGAATCCATGTATGTATTCTGACTCACGGTACGTTAGAGACTTTATGGCAATTCATACCCAGATAGCACACAGAGCCCAAAAGAATTCATTAGTATATTCAGTT